ACCATTACTCTTTGAATAATATTGAGAGAAGTATTGTGAAGTCTATTTTTAATGGGGTCCAGAATATTTATGAAATGAAATCGAGAGAAAAGAACTAAATGATGAAAAATTCCGACGGATAATCGCTTGCTCGTTTCGAATATACATAGCGGTGCAATAACGTAACAACCCTATTGTTCAACCAATAAACAATACTGTTGAAACACAATATTAACGTAATATGTACACGATATGTCACAGTCAGAGAAATGATGCGATATATATCACTGATGCATCACCGCAGGACTCGGAAAATTACTGAATGAGACACAACGTACAGACATTGTGCACCAATTCGAACGAACCATTGTACTGAGAAGCTCGTCTAGTTATTATTAGCCGCTCGTGCTATATTTTTTCCACTTGTACAGGTACTTGTATGTTTATAAAATATTTAATTACAGGAGTCAAGGATTTCATATGCTACTCGTGTCAACTACTGCCACGAGTAGCATTTTTGTATTTCCTTCGGGGGATGATAATAACCGAGTGGTAAGTTCGTAACCGTGTAATCCAAGACCCAGTCTCATCAAGGTGTATTTTTCTTCATTAGGCGCTGCTTCCTTCCTCAGAAATAGAACTGTCTGCGGAAGACTGATTAGACCTTACTTCCTCGCTATTTACGAAGGCACGTAATCTAGGTGAAAAACCAACGACAAAAAAAAAAAACAACAGAAATAATCCTTTTAATTGTATCTCCTCCCTTTGAACGTGACAAAGCGAGGGTGTCTCGTCGAGATTTTTAACAACCGAAAATACATTTCAAATCTTACGTGTCGCGTCGTATAACGTCGTTATTATACCGTGTCCTTTTTTTAATTTTTCCAAGCTGAAAAACACCCGCTGAAACAACCTTGCCGTGTTCACGATTTACAATGGTTTCCGCTTCGAGAAAATAAATTTTCCGTGCCATGCGTAAACGAGCTTATCTTCGAGAGGGGGAAATGAAATTTAATGGAGAAAAATATGTCGTGACGGAAGCATAATAAAATTTTAACTCTAAAGTTGTGACCTTACGATTGTTGCTTCACGATCGGTTTTTTTTTTTTGTAAAATCTCCACTGTATTAATAATTACCATTATATTTATTAACAAAATATGGATAAATTCTATGTAACGCAAGATGACATTCAAGATGAAAATGTATTTAAAATAATTAATACGGCACGCGAGTTCTGTCTGCAAACATGGAGCAGAATAAAATTATAAATTTTGTGCACATGTTTTTGTAATATACTCCTTATTCATCTTTGTAATAAATCATCTGTTTAACTCGTACGTTCATCCAATTAGATCTTGAGAATTCGGTCAGACAGAGTGAGTCGAACGAAATACAAAACACAGACTTTGAAACGTTTAAATTTTTTTAAATTTCAGGAAACAAAAGAGGGGAGAGAAGAGACCGTACAGAAGGAGGAAAGTAAGCGACACCTCGAGACGAATCAACAGACAGTTAATTCATTTTTCAAAGGAACTCCTTCGAGACGATACGTACGAGCGCAAATTTCGTCGATAAATTAACGTGATTACATGCCGCAGCGCAATGTGTATCCGCTTCTCGCACAAGGAAGCATTCACGAACTATCAACTGCTTCGAACAATCGAGGTTCCACCGTACGCAAAAAGTAGCGAGAGGTTCGTATAGAATATAAGCCAGAAACCCGATATATCCAGCGTATATAAATTTTATCGTCGTGATAAAATACGCCGGTGTCTTGATCAGGTGTGAAACTCTACTTACCGTCGTGATCATGCGACACCGAGGCATCGACAGGTAGGATGGATCGTCGTGAGAGTAGAGCGGACACTAACGAAGATAATCGTTAAGAAAGTAACGAGGAGAAATTCTTTGGAAGAAGGGGGGAAAAAGAAAAAGGAAAAGAAAAAGAACCGATAAAAGCCGTTGCATTCTGCACACTGAACATCGAGAAATTTCGAATATATATACGACTGCCAATCATCGACCAAGCCAGCCAATAGTGAAGAATAGGGCATTCAGCAGAGAGAGAGCACGAGTAGAAAAATACCAAGTGTCTTTTCGGAGGAGGGAGCAGGGGGAAAAAGTATTCTTAACGAACGTTCAAAAAAACACGTTTCGTATATTCGGTGTATGTATGGGAGAGAAAAGGAAATATGTAAGTATATACCGAAGTATATATGTATATACTGTCGTTGAAGACTGTGAAGAGGCAGCATTCAAATCCGCAATTTCGCGCTGGACTCGTCTTTTTAATCGGTCGAAAGTTCTTCGCGTGAGTAGAAAATCGAGCGACTAGAAAAGATGGTCTCGATCCTTTTTTTCTTTCTCGGTCGATTCGTCGCCAGAGAATCGCCTCCGCGGGTAATTAAGTGGCGCTTTCCATTTGCAAAGACGTTAATCAGCTTTGTCTACAAATATGTCACTCCGCCGGCAGCAATAATGTCCTAACCCTCGGGGTAAGCTCATCTCCTTGCCTCTGAATCTTTTAAGGTAGCTCCCAGTAACGCTGTCTAGTGAAAAGGAGGTCGCGTACCTCAACGACATTCGTTAAAGCCGTTCGCGTAAATAATAGATTCCAGCCAGCACACGTTCAAACACTCTCCTTTTTTTAGCGGCAGAAGTGAAAAATTAGCGAGCTTTCGTAATATCGCGTGCAAATATCGGTCAACGCGCGAGCCTCGAAAGATGTTCGAGCATAACGCGAGGGATATACATTAAATTCCATTTTCTACTGTACGTTACTCGAGCGTTTCTTAAATCGTACAATCTTCTCTTCTCTCTTCTCGTTTTTTTCTGTTTTCTTTTTCTTTCTTTTTCTCTTCCCTTTTCCTTTACTCTCGAACCTCGAGGAATTGTTTTTCCTTGAAAAACAGCTTTCGCGCGGGATATATTTTCTCGCCGACTGAAGAAAAAAAAAAAAAAACGCTGGAAACTCGGTCATCCATCGAAAACGAGTAAAAGGAGTTGAGAAACTTCATAAGTTCCCTAACTTCTGAATTCGTTTTCTAATTAGCTCACACCTAAAAATTTTGTACGCCAGGGTATCATTTGATCCGCGACTCTACGCTGTAGAACTGAAAAGGAAGAAAGAAAGAAAAAAAGTCCCGTTCGACGATAGGTCTCGAAGCTGCCAGGTGAGAAGTAAATAGAACACACTGTGAAAATCAATGCAAATAATATTTTCGCCTGTGTCGTAGGCTCTTCAATCTAGTCTGATATCGGTGCTGGAATATGCAATGTTATTACGTAACGCAACAGCAAATTGATTATCGCAAACTATATTTACCCACTAATACAGCGTGCGAGAATTATGTAACTACCAAAATTCTACCAAAATCGAATTTGATTTGCAATTTAATCGACACAAGCTACCACGGTCTTTGCTACGTCCCAAACAGTGTTTAAAAAAAAAAAAAAAAAGAAAAAAAAAAGAAAAAAAAGAAAGACACAGTTTAGAGAGAGAGAGAAAAAAAAAGAAAAAGATAGAAGAAAATTAACGCAACAATGTG